TGTTCTTTCTCTGCAGGACTTTAGATCTCACACAATAGGCCTCAGATTCGGAGTCCAGACTCTGCTTTGCCTGGCTGGGAAACTAAACAAAGAGAGGAAGGAGGAGAAGGGGAAAAAAGCATTTTAGAGAGTAGTACAAGGAAAAAAAGTGACTTCAAAGAGTGTTTGCCGTGTTTGTGCAACAATTGTTCTCATTATTTTTACTGAAGTTGTTCATTAGTGGTCCTAAATTCAGAGTAGCTTTATATGAAAGAACATACATTTACATTTTTATGTTACATAATTTTTAACCAGGACTGTAAATTACAATTTTCCATAATTGTTTTAACATTGCTAGCACTGTGACTCTAGTCATGGGGACGTAGTTCTGTGCTTTGGCCCACCACTCAATGATTATTGAAAATGTCTTGACAGCTATTCAAATGAAACTAAAATGATGATATTTGGTAAAGAGATTCATGCATCCATCAGAATGATTTGTTATTAGCGATCCTGCTGTCACACGTAAATGAGATGATAAGCCTTCTGAACATCAGCAGGTTAGTGTTGTCATTATGTGATGTTGTATTACACCCTGCATTGCAATAGGTGTTACTCTTATGGTTTATGAATGTAAAAATAATACCTTTTATTTGTCATGGGTTTTAGTTTGTTCGATGCCAAAAATCTTATTTTCTTGGTTATTTTAACCATGAATAGTTGTATTCACGGGCAGAAGCTCAGTCCGTAGGAACTTAATTTGGAAACAGGAGGGTTGCCGGTCCACTTCCTAGGCAGTGCCAATGTGGCCTAATGCAAGGATGCACTATTGTCATGGCAGTGCAATGCCTTGAAAGTGGCATCTTACCCCTTATAAATGCACTATATTGCAATAGTTATTGACAGAAACTGTTCCTTTTAACTGCCCATTCTAACTCTGATATAATCCACTTTCTTCTCCCTCTGTTCCCTCCCGCTCGGCTCTCTCCTCCTTCTGTCTCAGGTACTACGTGTCTGGTGGCCCTGCTCTCTGATAAGGAGTTGACGGTGGCCAACGTTGGAGACTCGCGTGGAGTTCTTTGTGACAAAGACGGAAACGCTATTCCTCTGTCGCATGACCACAAACCTTACCAGCTAAAAGAACGCAAGAGGATCAAGAAGGCTGGTGAGGAAACAGCTGCAGTCCAGACCAGTAGACCTTTCTCCAGCAATTTTAAGCAGAACAAGGCTTTAGTTCAAACTTAAAGCTACATCGACACACAGATTGTTTTCATAAAGAGCATAAAATAGTCTTCTTATGATCAAAGCTGAGCACCATTATCCTTTTTCTCCACTTTGTGCGTGTCTGTGCTGAGGCTGACATCAAACCCTAGTGACTGATAACTCTATCTGCCTCTAATGCAGCATGTTATCAAATGCAGCCAGACAGTGCACAGTATTTAAGGTGTATTTGAAGGCATAATTCTCCCATCTACCCTATCTGCATACTCTCCATGCTGAAGAGAGTTTGATGGCAGTTTGCCAGATGAATCAGTTACAGCGTGGTCACTGTCAGGAAAGCCCACCATCTCCATCTAATGGTCTACTTGGGTACTAAATGAAAGCTCACAGATTTAGTTTGCATTGTGTTGCTGTTTACTTATTCATGTGACATACTTGCAATTATAATACTACACTTGAGTTCCTACTGTTTTAACTTCAGTGATGGGGCAGAATCTAATGATCATAATAATTATAGTTTCTCATAAACAGGAACCAGTGCTATACTAATAAAATAACAGCATAGACACTAGTCCTCTCTCCTGGGGCGGCATTTTATTTTGTTACGGTGGTGTTTATCTGTCTCTGTGACACAGTCCTGTAAACACTGATACTCCAGAACAATTACTGATAGAAACTCAATACCAAAACCACAGGCTCCTCTAATTAGTTTTTGGAGTACCATACATCTACATTTTCATTAGTGAAACCAGATTTTCTGGAATCTGTTTCAAGTACTAAATGGTAAATGAAGTCTCTGCACTAGAAAAAGAAAAGTAAACAATAACACTTGATACTAGAACCTCAAATTGCAACAACCATTTACAAAACAGTCAAACCACAAACGGCATTTTTTGAAAAATAATGGAAGTATTCAATTAATACGATTTTTAGGAAATGGTTCACTTATAATATGTATTATGATGTATCAGACTGTTGACTTTATATTTCCTTAACTAATAATTATAGTAATTAGTCATTATCTATTTTTGTATCTTTCTTTATTTTACTTCAACAATTGTTTTATTGTATTCTGTAAATTTTAGGATACATTGTAATTATTGTCATTTTAGGATTTTTGCAAATCCATTACTAAAGGTTTAACTGTCTGTGGCTCTCATACAAAAAACGTAAAAAAAAGTCATTTGAATAGTCCTCTGACTGAAAAATTGCAATTTCAAGAAACTTAGTGCTGACTTTAGTAATGAAATCTAACTGATTAATAATTAAAATTGATTTTAAATACAAGTAATTGGTAATAGTGGTGAGCATAAATAAATATAGTCCCATGATAATTTCAGGGCATAACTAATTAATGCATTTATTAAGCTAACTGCTGCTCTCAGCCGCTAACTGCTTAGGGTAATACTTCAATGACTAATGTCTCCCTTGCTTCTGAAAGCAATTTGTACATTCTATTCCCTGGTTATATTAAAGCAGTTAACGACATGAGCAAACATGAGGACACAGAGTTCATGTTCTCTGCTTTGCTGGGAAATGGGGAGTTTAGCAAACTAATAATAGTAACAGAAAGTTACACATAATGGGATTTGTTTTTATAGCCTAAACTCGGATTGTTTTTAAAACAATTTTTTTTTTTAAATCCTTGCTATGGCCTTGCTCACCAGGCTAGGGAGGCATCTTGACCTCATATGGAATTCCTCATCCTATCAGTTCCAGTACAATTCCCTCCTTGCAAATCTGTTGAAGCCATAGAGGACACACAGCTGTACTTGCAGGATGTGACATAAATTGAAATCAATCCAACATAAACAATTGCGTTCCATGAGCGTAAACAATGAGCACTGAGTGAACACATGTGAAGGGTACTAATCCAAAATACTATTTGCTTATTCGATGTGAACATAGTAGTCTCATAGATGAACAGACATGTTGCCAGTTGGTTCAGAGAAACAAAAATAGTCTTTTGTTTTGCAGTTTCACGTCAGTAACATGGAAAACATCTGTTTCTCTACTGTTCCCTCTACCTTTGTTTTCCTCTATCCTCTCACTTCCTCTCATTCTCTCTACCACCTCCCCCCCTCCATCTTGTAATTTACCCTCAACGTTTTGCTTTGGCACTTTCCAACTATTTCCCCTCTGTCTTCCTCCTCAGGTGGTTTCATCAGCTTCAACGGCTCGTGGCGTGTGCAGGGCATCCTGGCCATGTCCCGTTCTCTGGGCGATTACCCGCTGAAGAACCTCAACGTGGTCATTCCCAATCCGGACATCATGACGTTTGACCTGAACAAGCTGCAGCCGGAGTTCATGATCCTGGCCTCGGACGGCCTGTGGGACACCTTCAGCAACGAGGAGGCGGTTCGCTTCATCAGGGAACGACTGGCCGAGCCTCATTTCGGCGCAAAGAGCATCGTCCTCCAATCCTTTTATCGTGGTTGCCCTGACAACATCACCGTCATGGTAGTCAAGTTTAAAGGGAAGGCCAGCGAGAAGTAGACACAGCAACACACAGCATCTATATCATGTTTGAATATTAGTGAGAAGTAATAGGGTTAAGATGAGAGATTTAAAACTCAAAACAACATTTTGGGTGAGAACAATTTCTGTCACAGATATTTGCAGTTCCCCTCCTTTACTTTTATTGCTTTCATTTAGTTATGCAACAACAGATTGAGCTGTGTGTGTGTGCGTGCGTGTGTATGCTTGAGAATATGAAAATAATTGATATATTTCACGTTAACAACCAATGCATTGCCTGTCCAATAATGAGAAAATGACAGTAAACAAGCTAGCATGGAGTTTGACTTCCACGTTATTTCAGAGGTAAGGTCTTCCACTATGTGACCACTAATGTTTATGCTTTTAGTTTTCTAACTCTGTTGTCACATCATTTAATTGTAGACTTGTGTCTACCAAGTGACTGCACTGAAAAGGTATTTTTTTCCTGGATCAATTACATGTCACTGGTGCAAATATGATTGTATTCCCTTTATACAGGAACAACACAAATGTTTAAATATCACCATTGATATTGTACAGCAATACAACCAATTAAAATGGTCGCATCACACTTGCTGATCATGGGAATTTGATGTAAGGATGAAAGTGTTTTGTCTTGAGTTTTATAATTTTAGATGTTGAATGTCTAAGTTCACTTAAATTGATTGCTGTTTTTGTGCTGATAAAGTCTCAATTCTGTTTTTATTGTTGATACATATTACATTTGTTAAAGCTGAGACTCTGGTATGATCCCCACCTTATCAGCATGTATGTAACTACTGATAATGTAATGCTGCAGATTGTTAAAAGAAAATCTCACGTACAACTTAAAAAAAATCATTTTAAACTTGAGGAAGGAGGTAATAATTAAGGTCTCACAGGCAGTTACAATTGTGAATGATTTAGCAATTTCAATTATCAAGAAAGATTTACCACCGGCTTCTTTTTTTACATAATTATTGACGTGCTAGTCCTTTATCTGAGGTTTCTTCAATTATCACATGACAAATTAAAGTTACAATTTCAGCCTTTAATGCCATGTCCTCTCTGCTATTGATCATTATTAACATTTTCCTGAACTGTAACTCAAAATTTAACAAGCCTTTGAATGAATTGTTATTGTTGCCTTATTTTTTAAACTGTTGATTTCCTGTTATGAAGTCTGCTGCCAAAACTACTTTCAGTTTAATGTATTGCCGTCGATCATGCCATGCACACTGCTCGACCCTGAAGTCGTACATTTGAACTCACATGTAAAATAGCATTATGGGAAGAAATGTCTCTTAAGAGACATGGAATTGTAAGATGAATGTACATACTGTCCTCATGTTAGTATCACCCCTCCACTGTTCATGCATCAATGAATAAAAGCAGTGCGCCTGTTTCTGGATTGTTTAACTTCAGAGATATATATATCTATATCGATATATATATATCTATATATATATATATATCAGAGAAAACTGTCTGTTTGTGCTTTTTCAGTTCACATTCTTCCTAAAATATGTACCTTACAAAGTGTTTATGTGGGATTTGTACTTGTTTTTGTTGATTTTAATAAACTGTACACAAATACAATAACAATTATTCTGAAATTTCAAATTGTAAATCTAAAAGCGAACATTAAAAATGATATATGATCATTTTGTGTGTTTTTTTATTTAGAATGTATTCAGTAAAAGTAACTCATACATAGACAATAACCGGAAAGAAAAATAAACGAGATCAAAAATTGTAAAAACAGTACCCGTACATTATGTATGGGGACTCTGGGGATTAATATCAATAAAGGTAATACTTCAATTGATAGTAAATATAAGACATCTTTTCCCTGAATGCTTGACATATTTGCACTTGGGTTAAATGTATAGGGGCACTAAACAGAAACATGAATACCTAATCTTTTCTCAAGTATTTCCCTAAAGTTCTCTTACATGTTTGTTTTTTCCAGCGAAATAAATTAAACAATGGGTAATGAAGAGCTGATTTTAGTCAGGTTATGCCACCTGCTGGGCGATGACAATATATTCTTCACAGCAATCCACATTTAGTATGTCAGGTGATTCTGCTGATTGTTACTAGAAAGTAAGGAATATTTCAACAGATCTAACAAAAACAATTCAAAAATAACTCACCCTAGCTTTAAGATGTCATACAGAATGAATTGGGCAAACAATCAGAAGTCAGCCAGAATTAGAAATGAAATAAGATGCACTCAAATTAAATCTAGTGTACTAATTGTGACAATGTATAATTCCAATTATATTGTCCAGTGCTGATGTTGTACACTATTGTGTAATGCTAAAGTCTGTTTCAGTAATTCAAGATGTTTAATGTATGCGTATTTATTTGGGATCAATAACAGATTCCCAGAAACCATTTTTGCTGACAGGTTTCTCAAAGGCTCACATTTTGCCTACATAATCTCAGTCTAAAGATAAAACTACATTTACCCATCAGCCCAGGGCGAGCTATCCCCCAGCTGAATGTTCCTGTGATGACATTGCTCAGGGACATCTAGCCAGGAAGAAACATAATCTTACCGGTGTACCAAAATGGACTTCCTGGTTGGTGTATCTGATGATCTGTAGCAGGTGTGATGTGACTCCTCTACTAACTGTGCTGTGGTAACCAAAGAACTGTACGCAGTTAGTTGCACCATCACTTTGGATATAAATAGCATTACCGAAAGCTACGCAGACACAAGAGGAATCCCATCACAACAGAGGGGAGGGATCACTCTGCGCACATAAAGCATACTGACTGCAGCCAGTCTCTATAAGAGACGGGACACACTAAGCCTATAGATAGTCAGTACAAAGGGAGCCATTGGGTACAGCCTATTTCACACAGCTATACAAAAAGAAGAAGAAGAAGCTTACTTTATAGTCACGAGCTGCACTGTTAGGACATGGGCCTGCATGGATCCAAGCCTCGAAAACAAGCACAGGTCCTGATGCTGGGTCTGACTGGATCTGGAAAGACCACACTGCTCTACAGGCTGAAGTACAACGAGAGTGTGCTGACCGTGCCCACTGTGGGCTTCAACGTGGAGACGCTTGAGACGGACAGGAGCAGCCCGGGCCTGACGGTGTGGGATGTGGGGGGCCAGAGGAAGATGAGGCCCTATTGGAAACATTTCTATACTGATACAGCCGGACTGGTGTTTGTGGTGGACAGCTGGGATCAAAAGCATCTGGATGAGGCCCGCAAGGAACTTCATCGGGTAATTTAAACAGATACTTTTATACTCTTAATTGCACATATTCTTCCTTCAGTAAGAATTGTGTTTTTGTTACTTCAATTGGATGTTTGAGCTACATTGAGCAGAGTGATGTATGCAGAGTTGTACTCTTTAATAAATGGCTCATAGCAGAAGTTAAGCAGATATAAGAACATTTGCACATGCTTATTAATGTCTTGTCAACAACTATACTATACTAAACCAATTTGTACAAAACTGTGTATAATATTTTAATGAATGATGACAATTCACCCTGCAATAACACTTGAACTTTGCTTAGTTTATATGTAGTATAAAGAACATTTCATTATGACTAAATTCAAGATTCAAGGCTTTATTGTCACGTGCACAGTTGCTACAGTGTAGATATGGCGATGGAAAACTTAAGTCACAGGCTCCTCCAACAGTGCAACATGAATACATATAGGACATAGAACAAATAAAACAGATAAAATAGAACACATGCTCTATTAGTGAAACAATGTATGAGTAACTAAATCATATTTCATTACAACTGTTTTTTGTGTCTATCATTAGTCATCTGCTTATGCACCAGTACAGCATGCCAAACAGAACAAAATATCAATTGTTCGCAAACATATTAATAAATACCCTTATCTCTGTTTAAAACGACATTACAGTGTGCAGTATGTGTGCTCAACTACTCAATGCTTGATAGATATAGGTTAAACACAATAAACCAGTTAACTAAAAGATTTTGTACACAAGTTGACGTTTTTTTGTTTGCTTTCTTCTCCACTTTTAGGTCCTGAGGCATGAGAGTCTCAAAGGAGTCCCTCTCGTGGTCCTTGCCAACAAACAGGACCTCCAGGGCACTCAAAGCCCAGAGGCTCTTTGTGTGACACTGGACTTGAGAAGATTGTGCGAGGGCAGGACCTGGTTCATCCAGCCTTGCTCAGCCACCACCGGCGTGGGGCTGGAGGAGGGCTTCAGGAGGATCGTCTATCTGATGAAGACTCCATTCAAACAGACTCAAGAGGACATTAAGGTTAAGATGAAGTCCAAAGGGTTCAGTATCACAGCTATGAAAAAAGTGGTTTGTCTCTGCAGCAGATGATGGGGGAAAATCTGGTTTGAGAATCATTCAAGTGATTTGCAGGAGTCCTTGTTGTCTGCCTGTGTAATTCAGCAGCAAATGGCCTCACTGTGGCGTCTATAGGATCAGAGTATAGGAGGTGATGAGAAAAGGGATGAGATTATCTCAGTTTTGATTGTTAATCTACGTAACAGAGAGAAGCTTTATTCAGTGCTGATAAAGACAAAGTGTCCTTGGACCATGGTGATATCCCATGAGGGTGCTGTGATCTTGGGTTAAGACAGCTGGTGTGTCAAAAACTGATATTTGAGCTGAGCCTGAGAGAGAAACTGAACCTTTTGTAAAACAGAGTATTTGCAATGATTCAATCTAAGAGTTGTCTCTATACATGGAAATACAGACCAAATATATATTGGTCTGTGCATCAAAACAATTCGGTTCTCCAATTGTGCAACTTTTGCTTGTTTGTTTGTTTTATTTATGTTTAGTTTTATATTTATATTTTTATCAACTTTTATGAAATATAAAGACTTGTTGTTTTGTATAACTATTGGGTCTGTACAACACACATTTGACTTAAACAAAGGCCTATTTGTGACATTGATGTAAAATGTAGATGTTGCTACATCATACAAATTAAAGCCATGACAAAACTGTAAAATCTGTCAACTCAAAGCGTGTTTTCAATATGTGTTTATTACCATGCTTACAATATGTCAGTGTTGTTTTGTCTAATGTTGCAATGAAATAAAGAAAAATTCATGTTAAAGTCCTGAAATTCAAATTCTTAGATTTTCACATATGGGTTATACCAGGCATTTTTAAAGGTATGTCTTAAAACATACTTACATGCTTATTTTTTGTATTGCAACTGCTGCACAACAATTTCACTTAGGATAAATAAAGGTGTTCTTTATTTTATCTTGTCTGTTTGGCCCCGGATTGGTAAACCGGCCGTTGGCTATTATAGCCTACTGATAGTATCAATTAAAGTAAAGCAAAGTATCTATAGCTGTAAGCTAAAATAAATGACTGTAAAACTAGAAAGAAATAGATATTCAGTGCATGACATTAAGGATTTTGGGAGATGGCCCTGTGGGCCATCTAAGCTAATTTACAGATGGCCCTGAGCCCAATAGAGATTGCCCTGAAAAATGCGCGCGGACAAAATGACGCACGAAGGGTTTGGGGGGCCTCCCCCTAGAACATTTAGATTGTTGCAGGTCTTAGATGCTGTCTGGTGCAATCTCTAGACTGAATTATAAGATGAACCACCACAATATTATATTGTACAATTTAAATTTTATTTTTAATTTCACTTGTTTGTTTGTTCTTGTTTGTGTTTGCTCGCTTGCATGCCCTGCATAGCTTTAAGAAATACTTAAGTTGTTGGTCAAGACACTTTCCATCTGATGAAGGCAAATGCCTTCCCAGATGTAAAAAAAGTAGAAAACATTACATTCAGTTATAACTGCCAAAACAAACATTATTTACACTATTATGGCCCCTGTTAAAAATGTTTGTAATGTTATCTAAATTGGTCGAACGAATGCCTCCTCATCCGGAAGCTGACCGAGCAGACCCGAGCAGCAGTCGAGAGGAGCCGAGCGCATCCGCGAAGCACACAAAATGGCGACGTCAGAGTTCCCGTTAGCCGGCAAATCTAAATCTCTTCGGTCAAAATAATTTCCCTTTAGCGCAATACCGCTTCAGTTGCGCCACTTATGTGACAGACAAGAAGAGTATGTGACAGACAAGAATAGTCAATTCTAATGTCCAGGGGCGTCGCCTGGACCTGGAAACATTCGGGGCTTAGCCCACAGTGGCGGCGCTACAGTCGAATTTTCTACTGCAAGACTCCCCACACGCACATACACAATTGCGCCATCTGGTGTCACAAACGTGTGCCTGCATTAGCTTTGTTACGGCAATGGATTGTGGGAGATTCTCATAGCAAGTGAGGATCTCTTGAGGGTAAGGTGCCTGTATTATCTTGGTGGACAAAATGTATGTTTTTATTTTATAAGGACAATAACGTACTGTTGTGTTTGTTTAGTTTAATGTTAATTGTTTAATGCTCACAGTCACAGCAACATGTTTTTTGTGTGATTGGCTATTTGTTTTATATGATTTATCAACGTGATCATTAATAGCTAATCTGAGCAACAGATCCCAGCTCACGTGTCCTTTTATGCTGTCCATTGAAATGCAGGTATGTGAGTTTTGTACACCAGTTTATTTATGTTTAATGTTTCACATTGCTCCACATGATGCCTCGACTACAAAGTCTTCCATGTTTCTTCGCTTCTTCCTCTGTGTCACAGTTTCGGGAATATCAAGATCATTGCACAGGGCCTTGGTCTTGTCATAGACCTCATGTGCTTTCTCGTTACTTCGGTAACTTTTCAGTGTGTTCTCAACTGCTGTCTTGTAATCTACAGCCTGCACCAAGTCAATTGTTTCTTTCTGCAGGTATTTGTGCAGGCCCTGAGTGGTTGAGAGCCGTGTCTGGAACATGACAAGCATGTAGATGGTACTGAATTTTCAAAGCTTGCTTTCCAGTCCCTTTGCTAGAGGGGCTGAAAGGCTCCCTAAAGTCTTGATCAAAGCAGGGAGGTTTTTGACATGCCCAGCGAACAAGTTGTTTGTCTCCTACCTGTTTCTGAAATGTTTGCAATCTCTGATGGTGGAAAGAGATGTGGAGAAGAAAGAGTAGAGACACTCCAGGAGATCAACGCAGGTATGTGAGTTTTGTACATCAGTTTGTATAAGTTTAATGTTTCACATTGCTTGTGAAAAATATACTACCACTATACGATCACTGATGTTTTGTTGTTGACTGGACACTTATTTTGTAAAAGAGATAGCATGAGAGGATCTCTTAAACAATGCAGCTCACGTGTCCTTTTTATATGCTGTCCATTGAAATGCAGGAAAGTAATCACCAGCTCTGAGTGATCTGTTGCAGAGGGGACACTACACCGGAGTTACATAAGTGCAATGAGTGCTATTTTGGGGGGAACTAACCTCCTCTGGGGTCCCCCAGGAAGATTTTTTTTAAATTTTGAAGTTAAAAGCATCAATCTTGTGCGGTTTGAGAGCAACATCAAGAGATATGGATACATCTCTCAACACCCATATGTCAAAAAAAATCAAAGAATCAGAATCAGAAACGGGTTTATTATTTTTTTTTTTTTAAATTGTTACCCATTGACTCTTGTCTGTTCTGGTGTTCCTGTTCATTGTTGTCTCCATTGTCGTTCTTGTCTGTTGTATCTCCTTCTTGTGTGTCCCTTTCTCCTGTTCTCCTTTCTTCATCCTCTGTGATGACTGTGTAGGTAAACACAAACAAGTATGTAAGTCAATCAGTTTCCAATGTGTCTTTATTAAAATGAGTGTCACCACACTGTCACAAAATGTAATACTAACCAATTGAAAATAGTTAAATTTACATTGGAAACCTCTTGTAGATATCACTATTAAGAGTAGTTATCTGCCAATAGGACAGAATCATTCCTACAAATGCAGTTTGAGTAATTCACTTAATATATTCACTTAACACTTTAATATAGTCATTTTCACTTAATACTCTAATATAGTCATCTTTCTGCATTCAAAACTAAGGAAAGCTGAATTTGACATTGAAAAATTTGACAGGAAAAAAGGCCTCCGACAATGCAGATCATTTTTTTATCATATCAATTTTAAGATGGGGGTCAAGGCTTAATATTTGGGAGCATAAGGCACTTTCACACTGCGGTACTTTTCCCACAAAGGTTCATGTGAACTTAGTTCATGTGAACTCTTTAGTTCGCATGAACTAAGTACAGATCGCGTTCACACTGGAAAAAGTCCCTGGGGGTGGATTAGGCAAATGAAGCCACTGACGTCACTTGTTCTTCTTCTGCTTTGGGTTTACTGGCAGGCCGCAAACCACTTCACGGCGTATACTGCCGCCCAAAGTCCCCGGCCGGAAGTCCCCGGAGTTGGGGACTGGCTTCAGTAGAAGCTGCTGGGAGTCCCAGCAGCTTCTACTGAAGCCTTCCGAGTAAATCACCAGAACGCCGACACCTCCTCATCTCCACCACTCCCATGTTTTATTTTGTGTTGCCATAAGTTAGTCTCTCTGCGTTTCTGCGCTGGGCTAATGCTAATAATGCTAATGCGAGGATAATAAAATGGCGGCTTCACAAAACTTTTTGGGAGTTTTGCGGGGCGTGGTTTGCAATCCTTCCAGCCAATCAGAAATGTAGCTCTTTTCTCACAAAAGAGCCGCTCGAAAGTCCCTGCTCTCTAGCAGGGACTTTCGTGGGGGTAAAAAGGTTCACATTAACTAATTTTAGTACCGGCTCTTTTTGGTGTGAACGCGATAAAAGAGTTCACATGAACTAAGTTCACATGAACCTTTGTGGGAAAAGTACCGCAGTGTGAAAGCGCCTATAGTGTCCCTTGCCCCCTTTCAGGAGCCCCACTGGATTGGCTTTGATCTGAAATATTTGTATAAAAAGCTTGTTAGCTGGCTGTCCATCTCATAATGTTCACATAGAAACTAGCTGTCAATAGGAAATATCAATCAGAAGAATTATAATTTCATACAAAAATCTGTCACAAAAAGAGGTTGCACATTTAAATGCAGGTGTTGTTATGGCAACGTCAGTGACCAAATAGCCACATTTACTGCTGCAAATACTTCAAACATGCTGTCTACACGTAAAGCAGTGGCAACTATGCCACCATTTCAGCTGACTTTTTCTCAGAAATACTGTCACATAACATCCATATATTTCAGTGCTAGGTTGATGCTTAGCTAAGCTAACTATGAAACACTTGAACTGACAGGTCTCAGGATCAACTGTGTACTGTAAGGTAGCTTCTAGCTTCATGTCGAACACTGACAGTAAGTCAACATTTCCCAGAGAGCTTTCTTTGAAATCACCAAGTAACGCTAAAAAACACAACATTTAGATTGTATGACAAAGTGTTTATTTAATATATCTGGCTAGCTATAGCTACTTGCTAACGGTTTAGCTTACCCGCGCGATTCAAAGTAACGTCAACGTAGCTATAATGTATGCTTTGCTTACATGTTCGCATAACTTGTAAGTTTACTGACATTTATATACCTTGTTAACCTGGCTCAGGTGGTGGCTCTGGGGTTGTTGTGTGAGCCACCACTTGAGAATTGCCATCTTTTTTATTAAAAAAATGTCTAATGTCCATCTTCAGAAACTCCGCGTCCGCGGCTGAAAGTTTAAACACCGTCACAGAGGAGAGGTAAGTACCTGTCAGCCAAGAAAACACGTTTATTTCCATGCAACTCTCTGATTGGTTTGGTGGTGTCTTGCCTCTGTTGCATTCACTGAACACGGGAAATTACATTCCTGCCGTCCTCTAGGTAAAGTACGGTTCATGTATTATATTATTGAGGGAGAATTTGTCCGGGGCTAAAGAAAAAACATCCGGGGCTAAAGCCCCGGATGCCTACCCCAGGCGACGCCCATGCTAATGTCTAACACTTAATGTGGAGAAAGAGATGTCCTGTATGGGTTGATTGTGCGTTGATCTGTTGGTAATGCCTCAGGGTTCCGGTGGGCATGTAAACAAATGCATAATGCTGCGCTATACTTTGTGGCCTCATCCGGTTGCATAGCGACACTTATTGTTTAGGTGTCTTTTAATAAGCAGGTAGTCATATCATTAGCTAGAACTAGCTGGATCTGATCGATATGGACATAAACGCGAGTGAAGTCTAATCTGACGGGAGAGAGAGATCAGCTGCTGCTGACGAGTCGACACGCAGCTCTGCATGATCACATGCAGCGGTGAGCGGACAAAACACACACTTTAGTTTAGAATATCACACGTAGCTATTTTAATTACCTCTCAAACTACCTAAACTAGTTATAGATAAGTTTAGTTTTACTGTCGGGTCTCTCATTACTGGATCCGCGAGCTGCATGATACTGGCATAATAGATTGCCCGATCGGGCAACCAGCAGGTGAGGCTTCATTGCCCGAGCTAAATACTAGATGGCCCCGGGCCATCGGGCAGTCCTTAATGTCGAGCCCTGATATTATGGATGCAGTGGTAGAAAATAATAAGTAGCTACATTTATTTAAGTGCTGTACTTAGGCTTACAATGTTGAGGTACTTAAATGGAATGCAGCTTTTCTACTTCACACACTTTAGTTACTCGACGACCTCTAACGAGGTATATGAAATACATTGCCTTGCATTTATTTAAATCAAAACACCTTCACGATAAAGATTAATTAAAAATATTGCAGCAAAGACCAAAATTAAAATGCATCTTACATTGTAAGAATGTTCAAGAATAATAATCTAATATAAAATATGGTGCAATGAAAGCGCATCTGGCTGAATAGTGATTACTTCTACTTTTAAATTCAAGTATTTGTTTGACTATCATTACAAACTTTAACTAAATAATGTGGGACTTTAATTGTAACAAAGAGTTTTCTAAATTATGATATTAGTCGCCTGTTAATTGTCATTAAATACAATGATCAAACACAAGGGTGTTTCCCCCCCCTTTTATTCAAGAAAATATATATGTACATCAACCTTAAATTTGTGATTCATTGACATCAGTGTACAGTTAAAAAATAAAAATAAAATAAATATTAAGAAAATAAATCAATATTAAGAAAAAAGTGATACAAACAAAAGGTAACATCTCAAGTTAATATTAATAAAATACACATTTGGTTTTGAGTTCCTTCTTGTTTTGGTGCTTTTTATCTAATACATCTAATTTGTTGTACAAAAAAAACATTTGTATAAAATCCATCACCTTTAAAGTTTATAAAAAATGTCTTACTCAACATCAGACAAACAGTGTGAGTATAAACAGTGATTGAATAAATGAAAAATGTTATCTTCATGTAAATTACAGAAATCACAAGAATAGTCAATATCAATGTTAAATCCCTCTAGTGTCTTTTTTTACAAAATATATTGTATGAAAAATGTTGACTGAAAACTCTTACACTTTTATTGAGTGAAAATGTATTTCCAACTAGCCACATTTATTTCCAATTGATAACTTCATTAAGTGAAGCCCAGAAGAATCTCCCAGAGGGCAGAGTTACACTTTGGATGCTATTTCTCTTATATTTATGTGAGCATTTATCCATGGTAATCTGGGTTTGTATCTTGTAAAGTGGCGCGCCCCGCAGAGACACGTTCACAGTGAAACCAATGAGAGTGAAGGGGATTTCCCCACCCTTCCTCTACGCCACAGCGAGGCTGCCCTCCACCACCGGCAATCCCAGTATGCACCGCGGACAGAGCAGCAAAAAATAGTCCGCTAACGAAAGGCTGAGAAAAAGGAACCAGAAAAGGATAGCTCACAAGCTAAATTCACGATTTAGATTGTATTTACCGCAACTAAAACTGCGAACATGGCTGACAACGAGAAACTGGACAACCAGCGGCTGAAGAATTTCAAGAATAAGGGCCGTGATTTGGAGGTAAAAGTTATACAGATTGGTGTCGAAGATCTCTTCCTTTTCTCGGCGCCGCTCTGTTCACGGACAGTTTCGCCTTCTGGCTTCCTTGTGACGTCGTTTCTAATTTCTACCATCGGGAACTTTTTTACCTTAATCCTTGGCCAGGGCCAATATAATCAGTTATATGTCGCTGGCCTTAGCTGTGCTAACTCCATTTGCTTTCGCTGGTTTCGCTTCACCGTGAGAGCGCGGTGGTTATAAAACATGTCAGAAACGCTAGTCAGAGTTCATCGCCTCCGCTGTATGTACTCTGCTAGCTCGATGCTAGTGAGGCCCACGGGGGACATGCTAGCGCTACTCGGGCATATCAGCCCCCGGATCGGTTTAGGTCGATGTGTTGGCTAGGAAAACTGATATACGTGCCTCTAAAAGTATATTTAACTGACTTATATGTTTTATTAGCCGTATATTTGCATGTTTGGAAAGCTAACAGAGCGGCAGATTCGCGTTATTTTGGTACTGCAGTTAGCTAACCTATGTGCTAACTGATTTGCTAGCCACCGTTAAGCTTGCTGGTAGAGCTTGATGGTGGCTGCAGTTCCACCCATCCCCCGTCTTTACCACCAAAAACAATGGCGGAAACCAGTTAGCCTTTAAACTGGCCAGTTATCTAGACATTTTTAAATTGTGGCGTAGTGTTATTGCGGTATTAGGTGTTTTACCAACGTTACACATGCTTAGAAAACGAGGTTAACACGACCAGCTAGTTAACACGATCACATGACTCTGTTAGATCAAAGCTACACGTTAGCTAACGTTGCATCCATAAGTTACCACTTGATTTATAGTCGGCTCAACATGCCTTTGCTTCGTTAGTGTTCGCAGGGGTGTTGTTTTCAGGCGCCTTCACTCAAGACGTAACTATATGAGCAGGATATAATCACACATCCTGTTTGACAAGTAGCTACTGAAGCGGTCTAGGCCTCTAGACATACGACTAGCTACTTGATAATCACTTGGTGGTCTGTCGGTGATGAACACAAGCATAACCAACAAATAACATCATTTAATGTGAGGTGTATAGTAAAACCTTTATACTCAGTTACCTGTTTATCAGGCATAGTCTTATAATTCCAATGAACACAATAATACATGTCCCTGTTTGTGTTGAAACTGCATTAGATAGGTGTTGAATCACCTGCATGGATGTTTTGGAGATTCACTGTTAGATCACTAAACGATACTATTCAACAGCAGGAAACAGTACAGTCTGTATAAAAGACAGAATCAGCACCTCTTTCAACCAGCTTCAACAAAGAAACTGAACAGTAAAACCTTCATGAAAGACTCACTGTGGGACTGCAGTTTTTGCTGAATAAGTATACTTGTAACTATAGTCTTTTTTTTGGTTTTGATAACACCATGAATTGAAATTGTATATTGAAGAATATGTAAGTTAGAGGTATTGTTGAGGCACATCTTACAGTAACTTAAGCGAATTAGATCAGGCTCGGGTTTAGGGTGTTCAGCAGTCACATGCAGATTGTGGGATGTTGACCTAATGCTCCAGGTATGACTGATACTACAGATTGACCCTGCTTTCATAAACTTAAACTTGATCCTTTGCCCAGGTTTAATTAGCTTAGCAGTGTCACTATTTGGCAATGGCATGTTGGGATTGATCAAAATGGTTGCTGGTTATTTGTATGCAGATCTGTGCCGCTCTAGAAAATAGTTCCTAAATGTTCTTATGCTATCTCACCCACAGACTATGAGAAGACAGAGGACTGAGGTAGTGGTGGAACTCAGAAAGGTTGGTACATTTGTATTATCTTGTCTTCTTATGATGAATTTCTTCTGAAATGTGCATGAAGTAATATCTCTGTTTCCCTCCACTACAGAACAAAAGAGATGAGCACCTTCTGAAGAGACGAAATGTGCCCCATGAGGACATCTGTGAGGACTCTGACGTTGACGGAGACTTCCGATCGGTACGATGCTAGTCAACTGCTTCTTCTGAGGGTGGCCCACATTAGGTTCCTCTCCCTGGCAATACAGTCCAGAGGTTTAGGATACGATAACATTATGTCCCTATGATGCTGTGTTCTTGCTCAATCTCAGTTGGGTGGGGCAGAAGTGTGACAAATATACAGTCAACAAACGTTCTCCATGCTAGGCGGTGTCTCATTATCTTCAAGTAAGAGACCGGTTTCAGTGCAGCCTCCTTTGTAGAATCACAAAATTGCACTTTGTAAAGCTGTCCGTCATCAGCATTGTAGTCTTTTCTAAATATCTTCTGTGCTCTTGTTGCCCAATACTTCATCTTTGGGACCGGAATTCATGTTATGCAGCATTTCAATTTCAGATAAAACATGCAGTTATAAAGAGAATAAATGACTACTCTCATAACAAGTATTCAAAGTTATAGATATGGGTGTGGTAATAATTTGTGATACATACAAGAGCTTTTTATAATGCAAATAGTCGTTGGATTGTGCCAATTTGAGGCACTTTATTTTCAGGTTAGCATTAATATTACCATCATTGATAAGCCAAACCATTAGGCCATGTGCTCATTATATTTAAGGGTTCACAGTGAATGTCACATCCCTTCATGCAAGTAGTTTTGGCACACGTCACATACACGTTTTAGGGTAACAACGTAAAATCTCCCAAAAATCGATGGATCGAGAATCCCACCATCACTGGGGGGCTCTAGGTCGTGTGGTATTGCTGGAATAAAAAGCCACTCAGCACTTCAGAAATTCAATCACAGTAACTGCCTAGTGCCATTGAGAAGGCTGACTTTAAACAGGCTGCTTAGCAATATATCAACAATGACATGCTGCTCTGACTCACTGCAAGACATTAGAGTGGCTTTTGTGTGTACTGACCAATCTGGTTTAAATACTCAACCAGCACCACCTGAGTTCCAGCCTTCGCTGTTTTCAACATTCCTAGGTTCTAGTGGTCAACTTCATGTTGTGTATTCAGGGTTGTGTTTGGGTGTTTTTCTTTTCTAGTTAGTTTTTTGTTGCACGTTACTCCACCGCGTTTATTTAACCGTGCAAAGTAATCGGCTGGCTATTGGAGGCACCAGCCGACTCTCATTTAACTGGGCCTGCTTTCATGGTCAGGGCTTAATTAAAAGTAAGAACGATACTCTGCACACTTGATTCTACACTGGGCCTTCAGCTCCATGTAGAGGCAGTCAGGTGAGGGTGCCAGTTGGCACATTCTCACGTTGAATGCTGGCCTTCACGTCCGGCCTGCTGACTGTTCCAATAGAACACCAGATTGGCTCAAGTGAGAATGCAAGTCACTGCTTTGTCCTGGTGGTATTTCCTGATTCCTAATGTCCTGTTTCTCGTAGTTTCTTTGGTGGCTCTATTCCCTGCCGTGTCAACTTTACAGAAAAAGCAATTCTAGGAAATACTTGTTTAAATGTGAAGCTAGGAGCTAACCTGCTCAGCCTCCCGTAGTACTGCCAGGAATTAAACTGGGGTATTTTCCTTGATCAAACCACTGGATAAAAATGTACTGCATCTTATCATCTTGTACTTTTGACTAATGACTCTTTACTTTCCTTTCAGCAAAACACTTCCCTTGAAGCAATAGTACAAGTAAGTAGGATGTTACATGAATTGGTTATTCTTTGTCATTTATCTCCTCTTATGGGCTGTGTATATAATGCAGAATTTAACTTGTGTACTTGCGTTACAGAATGCCACCAGTGATAATCAGGGCGTCCAGCTGAGTGCTGTTCAGGCTGCCAGGTAGGAAAACCCACCCTCACACTCTTCTATTCTACTGATCATCTCTTCAGTTTACACCAGCAGCTGGCATCTCGTTTTATATTATTATACTTTCTTTATAAACATTTAGGGTCACATTTCTCATGTTGCCATTGATGTTCACAGAGGACTATAGAGCGCTACTATGTACTCTGCTGCTTATTAACCTGTCAAAGACACATTTGGATTAAGCCAAACTAAAATGGCTGTTCGCTATGAATGAACTATACCGAAGCTGGACAATAGTCAAGTAGTATTTAAATGTCTGGTTCATCGGGTGTTTGTGAGCCAGAGACGCTGCACCAATACTTTGATTCAAATCGATGGCCTCTTGCTAAATACAGTTCCAGTGTTGAAATTTCAAGGACTGAATGTTTTTCCAGCTCTGTTAGACAGCGGTGATTTACAGTAAGTCAGCCCGGTCTGATTAATGGACATAGTAAATGGCACTGCGGCTCAGGAGTGCAGCCCTGTTTGAGATGAAGAGAATGCTGCATGAGGAAGCCAATGTTTCTTTATTATTTTACAGCTAGTTATTTTTATTCTTTCATCTATTCACGCGGCTTTCTTGCCTTCAAGCGTGTCCTGACTTAACGTTGAGGTCATGAGCCGGGCGTTCACTGAGATTGTGATTGACACTGTGGATTCTTGACATTCTTTAGCTGTTTCTCTCTGTGTGTCATTGGTTCTTCTTGTTTGCATTTCTCTGTAAAGCCATCAGTATGAGTAATGGTCTTTTGTGCTCTCTTTTGTTTTTGTAGGAAGTTGTTGTCCAGTGACCGTAACCCTCCCATTGATGACCTGATTAAATCTGGGATCCTTCCTATACTGGTCCACTGTCTGGACAGAGATGATAAGTAAGCAGGCTGCGAATGTTTCTTTGTGCTTGTGGCAACGCATCATGCTCTTTCACGTGTGATAATATTAGTAGCATTATCCCGATCATGTTGAGTCTATGCACACTTCAAATGTATTCAAATGCACACGCAGGGTTTTATCCGCGCCTGCATCTGAAGCACTTATGTAAATGTGTTCTAGTTTCACCTTCCAGGGATGGCAGAAATATAAATGACTCATCAGCAGGCTCTGACTGTTACGCCACGGCCCAGTCACAGTGACTTCAACTCAGCCTTCCGTTTCTCTCTCACCTCTTCACAGCCCGTCTCTCCAGTTCGAGGCAGCCTGGGCTCTCACCAACATCGCGTCTGGGACCTCGGAGCAGACCCAGGCCGTGGTCCAGTCCAGTAAGAGAACACCTTCTTTTCTCCTGTCTCTACAACATCTCAGTATAAACCTCAATCTATTACCTTTCACTTTATAAACAAATGTGCTTTTATTTATTATAGTAGGTGTGGCATCCACACGTGTTGCCATGTTATTGCATTTGCTTTAGTCAAATGCATCAACGCGGATTCATGTATTTAATGGAGACATTTTTGTATAAGTGTTATTTATTTATTTCCATTAGTCAAAACATTGAAATGGTGGATGTGATGAACATCGTAATGGAGCTAAAGCGAGCTGCAACATGAGAAAATGAAAACACTTAAATGATTGATTTATTCATCTTGACAATGCATGACATCTTTATCTGATTGAATTATGCAGAACAGCAGTGTTTAAGTGTCTCTGGCTTCAAATACTTTAATAATAAGATTCAAAGGATCTGAATGCCACATCTTTAAGCGATGTACTACACAGTGAAGTTACTTTGATATTTTCCTACTTTTGCTCTTCTTTTTATTTCTAAGCATGTTGTGGCCTATTCCTTTTTAAGTGTAGATGTGTCCAAGTGGTCATTTAAAGATTCTGAACAGATGAGCTGTTTGAGTAAAAGCCCTGCAGCAGAGAACAAGATTCCTCCTGTGATTGATACCTATCTGTCTCTTGGTGTAGATGCTGTGCCTCTGTTCCTGAGGCTGCTTCACTCCCCTCACCAGAACGTGTGTGAACAGGCGGTCTGGGCCCTGGGCAACATCATAGGTGAGTCGCTGTGTGTGTGTGTGTGTGTGTGTGTGTGTGTGTGTGTGTGTGAAAAATACATACCGTGAGTCCCTGGACGGCGTGTGAACCGTGTGTGTGTGTTCTCTCCAGGTGACGGCCCTCAATGCAGAGACTACGTGATCAGCTTGGGCGTGGTGAAGCCCCTGCTCTCTTTCATCAGTCCCTCCATCCCCATCACCTTCCTGCGCAATGTCACCTGGGTCATGGTCAATCTGTGCCGCCATAAGGACCCTCCACCACCCATGGAGACCATCCAGGAGGTGTGTATGCCAGAATGAGACATGAGTACATGTGTGTGCTGTGTGATGCACAGTTACATGGGTGTTTGTGGAAAAGCAATGATTCAGTGTTTATGAGCGAGAAGCTTCCAGTGAGGCATTAATCACCCAGTCTTCAGTTCATACGGTTCCAGGAGCAAAATATCCTGATCGTTAAAAAACAAGAGGATGCTTCATACTGTCTGAAGCTAACAGATAGAGGATCGTTTATGATACAGGAAAACCCTTTCCATACCAGTCACGTCAGATGTGGAACATTCATGTTAGTAAAATATGGGAATAAATCAAAAATAATAAATGTGGACTTCTTGGTTTAAGTCAGGCCTGAGGATGAAGGCAAACATAAAGCTGGTTTACATAAAAGAAAAGCCATGTTTGTCTTTTTCTCCCCATAGTCATCCCTCCTGTGTTTTCTTCTGTTCTCAGATTCTGCCGGCGCTCTGTGTGCTGATCCACCACACTGATGTCAGCGTAAGTAGCTTGAGTTTTTTTACACAGGCTGTGGTGCCTTGGTCTCTCTTTACTATTAACAGAGCAAATTCAATAAATGCTTCACTGTTGGAGGAAGTTGTTCTGGTTGCAAAGTGTAATGATGGGTTTCCTTTCTTCTTTGCTGCCTCCAGATCTTGGTAGACACAGTGTGGGCTCTGTCCTATCTGACGGACGCTGGGAACGAGCAGATCCAAATGGTCATCGACTCTGGCATCGTCCCTCATCTGGTCCCTCTGCTCAGTCACCAGGAGGTCAAAGTTCAGGTATGAAGGGACACCAGGCACGACGATGATTATGTTAAGGATCACACCTATAAAACATCAAGCATGGTTTAACGGTTATTATTCTCTTAACAAATGTAACGCTTCCTCTTCACACCCAGACTGCTGCTCTGAGGGCCGTGGGGAACATAGTGACCGGCACAGATGAACAGACCCAGGTGGTGCTCAACTGTGACGCTCTCAGCCACTTCCCCGCACTCCTCACACACCCGAAGGAGAAAATCAACAAGGTAAAACTACCTCCATCTTCCTCCTGCACACGTACATGCCCCCCCCTGGCAGGTGTCGTCTGCCTGGAAGTGATGAAATCAGAGACTTGGTGCTCGTGTGAATGCTGTGTGAAAGTCATAGATGGGGCAGATAGTCATTTGTAGGGATTCGCAACATGAAGAACCTCCAGGATGAAGAAGAAGACCTCAGTTGAAGTTAGTCAGTCAGATCGGGGGGGTTGGGGGAAGGGTTGTTGGTGTGGTTGTGATTGAATGAGTGATCCCTTGGGTTGGTGGCCAGAGGGTGCTGAAGACCACGAGTCTCTGCTGATATCGGAGTGCATCTGAGACCAGTCACTTTGAAACAGAGGCCCACTGTGACCCGGACGATGATTAGAGCCTCAAGAAACGCCTTGGCCCCGCCCACAGCACTCTGTCTCGCCCAGAGGTCCCACCCCTCAGCGCGGACCTCTGGATTCTGATCCAGTTTAAACTCATAAGTCTTTAAAAAGAGCGAGTGCTGTTCAGTCCTTTTGGCTGCTAATCATGGCCCCATGCCGTCAGGTTCCTCCTCTAGTTAAAGGTGTGACACGATTATAATCTTCTGGCTTCTCTGGTTAGGATAAAACGTCTATGTTTCTATTTCCTTAACAATGTATTTGTGTTGTTTGTCCTGTAGGAGGCAGTGTGGTTCCTGTCCAACATCACAGCCGGCAACCAGCAGCAGGTGCAGGCTGTCATCGATGCCAAGCTCGTCCCCATGATCATCCACCTGCTCGACAAGGTGTGTGTCCGTCTGTCTTTAGAAGCTGTGCAAAGAACAAGAGGATCGTGAAGGATTCCGTTTAATGAGCTTGTGGGTGAAATATGTGTTATTAATGTACTTTTGTTTTTAGGGTGACTTTGGCACTCAGAAGGAAGCCGCCTGGGCCATCAGCAACCTGACAATAAGTGGCAGGAAAGATCAGGTAAGAATCTTCTAAACAATTCAAGTTTTAAAGCAATGACATGTAGTCATGAAAAACTGTGGGCATATGAATACACTTGATTTATGTAGCTCTGTCCTTGGGGTTAGATTTTTATTTTAAAAAGTACTTTTACAGAAGAAAATAAAACAATCCAAATAAAATGTGAATAAAGCAGAATACATAAGCAGAGAGTTAGAACCAACACATGAACAATTTAGTTATAATAAAACATTTCCTAAAGCTTTCACAAATGGATATTTTATAATTCAAAAGAGGCTGAAGTGTGTCTGAGTAAAGGGAGAAGTTAAATAATGTTCTCTCAATTTCGTTTAGTTTGTGAAATGATTCCTTTTGACAACAGACATTTGAAATGTTGTTTTGAAACCAGTCATTTTTCAAAAGGACTGGTAAAAGTAGAAATGAAAGTGAATACCATGTTGCTGTTCCCTTCTGCCTGCAGGTGGCGCACCTGATCGAGAAGCAGGTGATCCCTCCGTTCTGCAACCTGCTGGTGGTGAAGGACGCTCAGGTGGTGCAGGTGGTCCTCGACGGCCTCAGCAACATCCTCAAGATGGCAGACGATGAGGCCGAAACCATTGCTAACCTTATTGAGGAATGCGGCGGTAAGTCCCATCAATGTTTGATTATTATCTGTGTGTTTCTTAACATTAGGTTTCATGCGTGGTTGTGTGGCGTCTGACTTGTTGTTTTCTTTGGTTCCTCAGGTTTGGAAAAAGTAGAGCAACTGCAGAATCACGAAAATGAAGATATCTACAAATTGGCATACGAAATTATTGATCAATTCTTCTCTTCTGATGATGTAAGTGAATCCAGTGTCAAAGATGATTTCACTAAAGTTCAAAGTATCAATCCAGTGTTGGTTATCAATAGATTTGTAAAGTTGAAGCCTTGGACTATCACATTTTATATTTGAATGTAAAAAGAAAAGGTTCCACCACATTTAAGTTGATTGACAGACGTGTTGACGATAAACAGTGAAGATCTAATAATGACTCGCAAGTTAGAGTTTGCTTTTGGTAAATCTTATTATGTAGAGGCACCATTAGTGTTTAAAGTACTGTCATGTCTGCTGCACCTTGTTAACGCTCTCTCTCAAACCCTTCAGATTGATGAAGACACCAGCCTGGTCCCAGAAGCCATCCAAGGTGGAACTTACGGCTTCAACTCTGCCAACGTGCCAGCCGAGGGATTCCAGTTCTAGACGGCATCTGGGGTATTCTGGAGTTTTGTTCACGATGCAGCACTCTGTTCAACATAAAAAAATTAGGAGAGAAAGAGCGAAAGAGAGCGAGTGTGAGAAATTTGATCCATTGTGCTTGGCTCGTGGGATCCATGGCTGCATCTTATCTGAGAGAAAAATGTGTGGATTTCATTTGGCCTTCCAGGGCAACCAGCCCAGATGAAGGTTGAGATGGCGAGTGGGTGCGAGTGAGAATGAGTGGCTACATGTTGCAAAAAAAGCAAAACATCTACATCGAATGCGTTGAGAGACATGCCGACATAACTTCTGTGTTATTGGAGCTGTCGCCTTCGGAAAACTACTTCAAACGACAACAAAAAAACTTGCCCGGGGAGAACCAAGGACATCCAAAAATAACAAATCAAGAGATCTTGACATATTCCGATACAACCGAAAATAACTAATTTTGAACTGAGATGAACCACGAACCATCACAATTCTACGGTCCTCCGAAAAGAGAGGGTGCCACCCTCAACGTGCCCCTCCCCCAATCGGCCACGCTATCAGACATGTGTGTGAATGGACCCATTGTGTATGAATGTCTGGACTCAGTGCTGAGGAGCCAGGTTCATCTCCTCCAACGAAACGCCCCGACAGGGCACCATCCTCTCCCTCTGGTGGGCGGGGCCAGGAGTCCGGCTGCGCGTGTCGCATGTGCGAGAGAATGGACGGATGAGTTGTTGTGTGCTTGGCTGCGTGCGTGACTGGGAGTATGCAAGACTGGGTGAGAGCGCATGCAGAGAAATTCAATTACAACATCTGAAGAGAAACAAAATTGCAACAATGAAGTTAGCAAAGGTTTCAGGAAAAGAAATTCTGCCTTTGAAAGAGAGGCTGATCCACAAATCCCTGAAAGGAAGAACTTTGGAAATGAAAAAAAAAAATCATCGTCATCACAAGGATTCTTTTTCTGTTTTGAATTATTGTTAAGTTAGTATTAATTGACACTGGACAATGCTATTGGCAGGTGTGGAGCAGCAGTGCATTGTATTAAGATGCATTTGGTGGCTTTTGGGCTTTTTCTTTTTGCCTCCAGTGTGTTCCTTTTTATGATATTTTTTATTTTCAGCTTTTAGTTTCATTGCTTCTGTAAAGGTAATTGACGACGATGGTAATCCACCCTCACCTAGGCACCAGACATGGGCTTGATGCTGTGAAACTGACACCATCACTAATCAAACGACCTGTTCCCGTCACCTCATTATTCTCCCCTCAATCTACAGCAAAACCACTGCTTTGCAGTATCGTTGCCATAGCTTTGACTTATCACAAAGGGAGAAGAGAACAATGGCCATTTCACGTAGGATTGTGAATCATAACCTTTGCATGTACTAAACTATAGCACAGTTATTTTTTAGGGTATTTTAGTTTCCTTAGACTGTGGATACAGTGTAATTTTCATTTTAAGTAAAACTGTGCTTAAATGTTACATGTTTCCCTTTCCCTTTCCCTCACTAGTGTCCGATTTGCTAAATAATCTATGGTTTTGCACATGTACTGCAAAGTGAGGCCTGAAGGCATGTTGGTGGCTTTCATAGGTTTTGACCTGCCAACAACATCCTACAATATGCATCACTCAACCACAATCTTTGTTGTCTTTCTAGAGTAATCCAATGATGCTTTTTAGTGATACTTGAGAAAAAAATAAGGACTTTATTTCAGGAGCAGCAGGAAAGGATCTGCTAATGTATCTCAGCTAGACAAAGAGAGGATTTAGCCTCCTTTTTCTCAAGGTCAAAAGGTGTCCCACACGTCAGACTGGAGTTGTCCAAAGTGGGTTCTCCGGAGTAATAAATAACCCATGAACAAGTTTGCTGTACCTTTTTAGTACCTTGCAGAGTCATTAGCCCCATACTACTCTTCCCTCTTATACCAGCTAGGTGTACAAGCTTACCCTTTCCATTTTTTGTGTTAACTTCAAACACTGTAGTAAATGATTACACATTGTGCTCATAAACCTTCTGTTGAACATAGGGGTCTTTTTTTTGCAGCATTCCTTGTTAGCAAACATGTGGTTTCAAATCTGAAATTATGATATGGAAGGTATAAAAAGGTGGTTTGCCCAAAAACCTTTTTGGGAGATAGGCTACAGGATAGGTTGTCTTCAAGAAAATAAATAGTGAAACCCAAATCGAGAGACTGTGTGTGCGTGTGTGGTCTGTTGTGAAGATGTTGTGTGAATAATCACTGTCTTTACACTATTTTGAAATGCTGATATTGCTTGAAATTCAAATCGAGGAAAAGCGGGCCCTGATTGGCCAGGAAGACCGTTTCAACGCATGCGTACTAAAAGAAACAAAACAAATGATGCCTTCAGGACTGCCGGAAAGGTCGCAGTTATGACAGGGGTGGAGTTGTTACATCCATATGAAGAACATGTGCCATGGTTCATTTCAAACTTGCAGTACTAGGGAACTAGCCAAGACATTACAAGAGTGAAATATATATATATATGCGTAACATTATTTTATTTTTGGAAAGAAGAGCCGATTTAAAGCAACGTCTGGAAACAAACATTTAATAACAAGATTTTTACATACGCGCTTGAAGGCATCATGAGAAGGAACAGGAAATGAGAGCTTTATTTTGGACAGACCCTTTGCTCCGAGCACGAGCAGACGGTGAGTTCAGATTTAACGCTCAACATCTTCTTAAAACTGTCTACCTTGTGTCACCAACCCTAAATCCATTACATGATAAAAACCGATGAAAACAAATGGTTGACAGGTCGCTGAGAAGGTAATCGAAATAACTTAAATGTGGCTTACGAAGCCATTAGCATTTGAGGGCGAAGTTGATGTAGTTTAGGAAATGTTAATCTAAACCAAATCAATTATGCGGAAACATGGTGTTTTCATTTGATGCTTTATGAACCCACATATGCAGTTATGTGCTTCTTTTCCTGTGAAATAAAACTATGCGGTTGGTTAACTATTCAAACTTCACATGTCCGATTAACTTCGCGAAATAGTTTGATCTTTTCACTCTCGAATCTGTATGGTAAAGCAGTCAACTTTAATGCACTCATTACATGTTGTAATATGGCACATTTAACTAATATATATATTGTTGATCGGGCTGCAACAAGACACCTGTTGCAAGTTTGCACCTGGTTGCTCACACGGCTGCAGAATTACCCTTAATTACAATAAATAAAAATCTCTAAATATGGATCAGGTTTGTGGGGTCAGTTACACAACTGAACTGTGGGGGTGTGGCTGGGGGGAACTGGGTGTGTGCTGGCAGAGGGCCTCCTATTGTCACTGTGGTGCCAGCTGTAACAAGAGGAACACGTGACCTTGTTGCTGTTTTTCTGTCTGAGGCATTCCTTACTGTCTTATGAGATTTGTTTGAAATATAGGCAGTGGTCACTTTACTAGGTGAGGCACACCTGTACAATCTGATTAGTAATAAACAAATGTAAACACTTTTTAATTTTAAAAACTGAACATTGTGGTAATGTTTGTAGAATTGATGGCATAGCTGTTGTATTTGATTGTTACAGATGAACAAAGTTTCAGTCCTCTTGAGTCTATAACTCAGTAGTGCACTCAGTCACAGAATGTAGTACTGGAGACGGTGATGAAAAGGGGCTTTTTACAGTCATGAAAATACAGTAGCTGAGTGCAGTGAACTACTAAAGATAATTGTTTATAACTAATTAATCTGTTGAATAGTCTTCTCTTAGAATATTCTGTTAAATTCCGTTTACAGTCCAAAGAACCATCAAATCCTGACACATTTAGGAAGCTGAAACTTTCAACCAGTGTTTGGAAAATAAAACACAACAATATTTGACGATCAAAATAGTTTCATTTTAGGTTTGACTCCCTAAACTCAATCACATTCTGTCCCATTTTTCTATTTCTACTGATATAGAAACAAAATGTGTTTTGCTAAACAGGTGCGGCCCGTAGCTTTTCCTCCGTCCTGCTGTCCTGGCTGCCAGATCTTCTCCCCCCCCCCTTACCTTCCCCCTGAGCCCGGCCTCTAGTCTCCACCATGGACAACCTGGAGGAGGACCTGACGTGCTCCGTGTGCTACTCTCTGTTCTCGGACCCCCGGGTCCTGCCCTGCTCACACACCTTCTGTAAGAGCTGCCTGGACAACTTGCTCCAGGTGTCCACCAACTATTCCGTCTGGAGGCCGCTCCGAGTCCCACTAAAATGCCCCAATTGCCGTGGCGTGGTGGAGCTGCCTCCGATGGGCGTAGAAGCTCTGCCCACCAATGTATCACTGCGCGCCATCATTGAAAAAGTAGGAGAGAACACAACTTTTACCCTTTGGCAACCTTTACGAATGAAATCCTCTTATTGGTTTCTAAACTTTGCTGCTTCAGTTTGACTTACATGTTTGCTCATCTGCTGTTTCAGTACCAGAGTGACAGCTCGCCGCGACACCCTTCCTGTGAGCAGCACCTCAGGCAGCCTCTGAACATGTACTGCATCCAGGACCGGCAGCTGATCTGTGGTCTGTGTCTGACCATCGGGCAGCACCAGGGCCATCCCATAGACGACCTGCAGGCGGCGTTCATCAGAGAAAAACAGACGCCATCTCTCCTGCTCGCCAAACTCTCTGAGCAGAGATGGGCGCAGGTGGGGAATCTTTTAAGTACGGGCTGTGGAAATCTGTTTCACTAAACTCAATGTAAATGCATGTAGGAGTACAAATCCTTTCTGTTCCTCCTCTGTCAGGTGTGTGAGCTGGGGGAGCAGTTGGAGCAGGAGAAGGCCCGCTGCGAGGGTCTGGTGAGGCAGGACCGCCAGGAGGTCAATAAGTATTTCCAGACCCTGGAGGTGGTGCTGGCCAGGAAGAAGCAGGCCTATCTGGAGGCGCTGGATACAGCCGCTGCAGAGGTGTCGCGCGCCTACGACCCGCTCATCCTCAAAGTGAAGGAGCTGCAGGTGAGTCTCGGGGCTAACTGCCGCTATCCATTGTATCTGGATTAAGCTGTTTCCAGTGACGGATTTTGCTGAGGTGAGGCGTCCATGCTGGTTTAGCTTCAAGCGCCTCAAAAATGATTTAATGCCATTGCAGATATGTCAGAGTAACCTAGGGTTCTGTGTCATAATTTCCACTTGGGTATTGACAATATCACTATGTATAAACTTAAATACTGATCTGGGCGAGTTGTCGTGAAAAAGGGCTGCCCCAATTTCACATTCTCCCTGATTGATCACATAATAATCACGGCCCAAAGGAAGCAGGAACGAGCACATGTTGAAAAGTACCGCTAACCGCCTTATCCCTGCAGGAGGAACAGCTGGACCTGGTGTCGATGGGCTCCTCGATGGAGGAGGAGCCTAACCCGCTGGTGTTCCTGGAGCAGGTGCATCTGTTCAGAGAGAGGGTGGAGGAGTTCATCAAAACGCCTCTGCCCTCGGCAATCAACCTCTCCGTCACCCCGAGGGCAGCGGAGCACCTCCAGCAGAACTGGCCCGCCGTGACTATCGGCAGCCTGGAGGAAGCCCCCGTCCCCAAGGTGTGCTGCTGCGCCAGATGTGGCGGCGTGGAGGCCGGCGTGGAATCTGAGGCTGGGGGGGATCAGCTCCACGGGGAGAACTTGTGGCGTGAGCTGCAGCCGACTTCTTCTGTGGTGCTGCTGGGGCTGCTGCTGCTGGCAGCGCTGTGGGTGAACCCGGTGGGGGGGGCCTCGCTCGGTTTCTCTCTTCTCTCCCAGTTCAGTCAGTTGGTCCAAGGTCTGAGCGGTGATGTCATCACATCTGTGTGGGACTCGGCGGGGTCAGGGTTCACGGTGATAGAGGCTGCTGTGGAGAGATGGAGCGCTCACCTCTCCTCTGTGGGAGAGAAGGCCTTCGAGCAGCTGGCCGCCTTCTTCAGGACTCTGACATCACACTGACACACACCGAGTCTCACTGAAGCACTCCTGTAGTACAGCGGGTAAAATCCAACTGAAAAACCTTTAAACATCTGCTTTTGTCAATAAAGGCAATAAATAAAGGCAATGAGTAAATGAATAAACACAAGGCAAGACATAATTGATACTACAGAAATAATCATTAAATATAATTCATATGACCTTATCAAGCTTTAGTCCCCTTCAAGATTCCTTGTTGTCTTATGCAGACCTGGGGAAAAACCCGAGTTACGTCTCGGGTATTTATGTTCAAGTTCTTGCAAGTTCAAAATGTGAGCAGTTTACTTTTGATGTATTGAATTGTGTTACTGTCAAGTGTTATGTTTTTCTAGTTATGGTTCACACTGCCTCGCAATTAAGCATTTATCCTACCCAACACTAATCAAACAGTTTTGAAGCTTTGCATAAAGGACTGTAAATATTGGGGCATTTCAGCAGCTCTCCTGGTGTCAGAGAGCTGCTGACCTCAGAACAGCTGCTCCTGTATATCCTCACAGCTGTGTGTGGACTTTAGAGCTGATGGTGAACACACGACTCAGTGCCTTTAACCATCACGCTCTTATCTCGCCCAACTTATTTGCCTTTTTGTACTGGATTGTAGTTTCACCAGGACCAAAAGCTCAACCCTCTTTTGTTACTCCAGCGGTGGGCAAATATATGAATTGTATTATAGCCTTTATAAAAGCTTTACCGTTGCAATTTTGCATCAAATAATTAAGTATTTTTGCTCTGGCAGACCCTTACTGAAACACCAGTCAGTATGCCAAGCTGCATTCCTAAATATTATAATCTCATGTATTGTTTATATTATAATATATCATAACGGTATGCTGTTACAAGCATCACACACTCAGACATTTTGGTTCATGTCAGGCGTTTTCCACAAATGTCACGCCAACCTGTATTAGTTTAACTTTTTGGTTACTGTATTATGTAAATTATAATAAAAGTTTGAATATATATATATTTGTTTTTCTATATCTGTCCATGTGCCAGTGCAAGATGGGCTAGAATTCAATGTGTAGCAGTATGTCTGAGCACAATTAACAGCCGCTTGCTACATCTGTCTGTCATATGAAATCTGTGGCGTCCAACCATCACATGACCTCAGACAAATCACGACTGTGCTGGTCTTGCACAAATGATATTTAAAATGATAAAGTCGACAGGTTTGTTTCATCATTAGAGTATTTCAGAAATATACAGCATGTCAAAAGAGTTTATTACATTTTCATCACAAAACTATTTGTACA